ATTCACTCATAAAGCCAGAAGCTATGAAGCAGAACACATACTCCTCTTCTGATTTTTCCAGCATGCTTTCTCCAATAAGCAAACACATTAGAAGAAAGAAGGTTTCATCTCAGATTCTGAAGCAGAGGAAGAAATTTATTGGCAGATATGAATTAGTAGGGGTCTCGTTCTCTTAGGTCACACTAAGAGGGCATTTAAATCTCCCTATCTTTTCTTGTTTTGGTGGAAGAGTTTCTAAAGAAAGGTGTTCAATCTGGATGTATTTGAGCCATCTGAGAATCATGTTCATCGGTACTGACACAATCAGAATTAAAGAATCTTATCCTAAGCCAGAGCTTGTACTGAGAGAATCAGGTAAACATTTAATATTCTAAGTCTGCCCACTATCTGGAGAGAACAGAGACTAATTTAGATCCTGAGGTCCCTGCATGTCACTCTTTTGTTGTCTTTGAAAGAGTCAGGGGACAGTTGCTCACTTTTCATGTAGGAATAATCACTAAAGTACCAGAAGGCGTGTTTTTAAACATCTCCCACTTTTCTTCCCTTTAAGAGAAATAATACCACTGGTTCTAGCTTTCATAATGTAGATATTTTTCTTCTGTTATTTTAAAACTTTTTTGGGCCCTTTTCAACATTTTTATTTTCTCTGCACTCCTAACTTACAAGACTAAATACTTGTCAAGAAAATAATAATTTTCAATGTTTTTGATTCTTCTCTGGTCAGAATTATAAGAATATAAATATTTCTCCAAATTAAAAAGAAAACTATAGAAGAGTGAAATAAGTAAGAAATCTCAAAGAAGTGATCAGTGACCACAGGAAGCAAAATGCACCTAAACTAAAAATAACTCAAGAACAATGCCATGTGTGTGATTCAGGTGGCAGGCTGTGGGATGGAGATTCAAGTGTGTTGTAAATTCAGAACAGCCACAGAATGCCATGGGCTAAGGAAAGGACCATGAACATGTGTGAGTGCAGAGTGTGCTGAGAGGTACCTGAGACTTCAAGGGGAGAGCAGGAGTGTGGGAGGAGGTAGGAGTGAAGGTAGCTAGAGGTCAAGGTTTAGAAGAGAGTGCTTTTGTGGAAAAGCACACCTGAGACACTTTTCGTAAAATCTCTTTCTATCCAAAGTCTTCTATTTTCGTTGGTATTTTCCTGTTGGATAGCTATTCATTACAGATTTCCACTTGATCACTGAAGTACTTCTTTTCTTCCTTCTCAAAGAGGACCCTCTTATGAATTGTACTATTGTTGGGGCTGGAGAGATGACTCAGCAGTTAAGAGCACTAACAAAGACCCAGGGGTTCAGTTCCCAGCACCCACATGGTGGTTAACAACCTTCCATAACTCCAGTTCTAGGGAATACAATGCCTCTTCTGACCTCTATGGGCATTGCATGATACAGCTGCATTTACATTCATGCAGGAAAAACACTGATACACATAAAATAAAAATAATAAATAAATAAATATCTTTAAAAAAAGCTTAGGATGGGTGAGATGACTTGGGGGGAAAAGGTACTTGCTGGTAGGCTTCCTGACCTAAGTTCAGTCCCCAGAGCCCACAGGGTAGAAGGAGAGATCCATTTCCCACAAGTTTTCCTCTGATTTCCAAACCCGCACTGTGGTACATGTATGCACACACAAACACACACGTATGTGTACATACACATACACACACAAAATAAACTTAACCAAAAGATTTTTTACGATAGCTTAACAGTAATAAGGGGAAAGGCAGCAATAATATATTTCACTCTCATACACTCTGAAGTAAATAATAAAAGATTTCAGGAAATGCTCATAGTCATCCACTTCATAGAAACCTTGATGTTCTAGGGTAGAGGAGGGTAGATCAAAGAATGTGAGAAGAAATAAGCATTTATTTACAATAACAAACTCCTTTCTTCCAGAGGTAAATTATTTTCAAGGAGTAACAAGCTGAAATCCTTTGAATAAGCAAAAGCTGAGTAAGATAAACATTTTAGACACTGCCCGAAATCTGGAAGACCATCTCAGCATTCCACACATCTCTGTGTTGCTACGCTGTGTGGGAAAACGGCCACCAGCCTTGATATCAAAATGGCCTGTTCTCAGGGTGACCAGCACACAGAACATAACAGACTTCAAGTCATTTAATCCCTCTCAGCCTATTTCTTCAAAATAAGGGTAACTGTACCTATTTCATTGGATGATCTCACAGATTAAGAATGTCTGAAAAAAGCTTGATTGAAAAACCTCAAACGGTAGAAGCTCAATGCATTATAGTTTACTAATTCTTTTAAATTTTCATTTATTTTTATTTGTGTGTATGAGTATTTGGCCTGCTTGTATGTAGTGCACCCATGCCATGCAATGGCCTTTGGAGATCAGAAGACGGTGTTGGATCCTCTGGAACTGGAGTGATGGAGAGCTGTTAGCCACTGTGTGGGTATAGGGAACCAAATCCAGGTCCTCTGCAGAGCAGCCAGTGCTCTTAACCACTGAGCCATTTCTCCAGCCCTAATTTACTAATTCTTTTTGTTTGTTTGTTTGCAGTAAGAATGCTTTATTTACATTAAAGTATGAACAGCATTTCCAGTAAAACAGGAAAAATTTTATACCGTATCTACAAAATTTAAGTCTATTTACAATATATGCTGTATTTAACTACCTAAAAAGGTAAGGAATGTTCTTAATGACCTGTACATTCTCGCGGCACTGGCCCTGAAGATGCTGATGTTTAAACTGGGCAATCATAGATGTGAATTTCCTGGTTGTCTCCAACAGACACAATTTTTGAGCCATTTCCATTATATTTTACTCCCCAAACCTGATCCTGATCAAAGAAGGTGTGAATACAGGTCCTTGTTCCAACATCTCAAACTTTGACACTTTTGTCAGATGAACTGGAGACAAAGTGAGTGTCATCAGGACAGAATGCAATGTTGAGCACCCAGGAGGCATGGCCACTTAGTGTGCCTGCCAAGTTGGCATGTCTTAAGCAACCAAAATAGACTCAAATTCCCCACTCCACTCCAAGATGTAGAAATCAAACCTGATTTCACTGTGTCTAAGAGGTATGAGGCCTTGTAATGTATCATGAGGGCAATCAAACCATCCATTCATTCCACACAGAACAATTCTCACAGAACATGGACATGTGAAGAAATATGGCAAGGGGCTTCCACGAAATTCCCAGGAGGGAGAGGTATAACATTTTTGTCTCAATTCTGTGGTAGCTTCTGTGCATTCTCACTGCCCTTTGGACCCTGGTGGGTCTCCAGTCTAATTTACCCCATCTGCTACTTCTTCCTCACAGCAGCTGAAGTAGGAGTTTTCAACTTTTAAGGGCTTGCTATTGAAACTTTTAAGGCTCAGGAAAAATGTAAAATTTCAAGCAAATGATCCTGAACCACTTAAAGGGCAAGATTTCGTCCCTATGCTTTGATATGCATATCAGCACATCATATGTACAATGTCTTGGATCTAAGGATTGTATACCTTTGTAGATGGCAATACGGCTTTAAGAGAATTTTTTAAAATATTGTTAAAGTATGTACAGACAGATACTGGGAATTTAAGTTCTGATCTTAGAATAAAGGAAAGTCTTTTTTATTTTTAGTTGTGGATATGTAAGTATAAATCTTCAAAACTAAAATATGCCTTTAAAACCTACAATATTTCAAGAATAAACTTTCTTTAAATCTTAATTATGTGTAGCTATTGGTATAATGTACTTTTCAGACAGGAAAATGGTCTGGAGAGGGTAGACCTGCAGACATTGTTTTTGTACCTATGACATGGTTTGTAGACACTGAGTGTTCTGGAAACAGTAATGCTAAACGTCTCAAAGGCAAGGCTTCCTATTTATATAAAAAATACAGAACAAATTGCAGATGGAATCTTAGACAATCCTTTCTATTATTGATATAATGGTGTTGAAGGAACAGTGTTGGGGCTTAAACAATTAATGCCTAGAACTCGTTTCATAGCCAGTCTTGGAAAATTGGTGAGCAGCACAAATTTATTTGCTTGGAATCTGCTCCCACATATATTCCTATAAACTCCCAGGTCTATTTCCATTTCATAATTTCATTCCTGTCCCCAGGGGACTTAGGACATCTCTTCAGAATATTCACACCATGAATCACCAACAAAGGCATGTCAGTTATGTCTAACCTATCTTTTCTTCCCTCTCTCCCACCCTCTCTTTCTTCTTGCCTTCTTTGAATACATATATGTGCGGTTCACATGTGACTTCTCTTCAGGATATTTCCACCATAAATTACTAACAAGGGTAAGTTCAAATCTCTCTCTCTCTCTGTTTGGGGGCGGGGTTCACATATGCCACAGTGTGCAATGTAGAGGTCTGAGGACAACTTGTGAGAGTTGATTCTCTTCTTCCACCATATGAGTCCTGGAGATCAAAATCAGGTTTTCAGCCTTGAGGACAGGTGCCTTTGCTCACTGAGCCATGTGAATCCTATGTCTAACCTCTTTAAAGATACATTAGGGACAAACACAATGAGAAGGAAGCACTCTACAATCAAAGAATCTCTAATGGTAAAATTTCAGATACTGCATGTTTGAGTATAGAAACATTTGAATTAGTGAAGGTTTCCCAGTAGAGGACTAGACTTAGGAGACTGTTCATAGAAATAACTGCTTTTTACTTTATCTTTCAAATTTTGGTTGTAAAATCATTGGATTGTAATGACTAAACACATCTCTTTAAAAAACAAGTCAAAATGAAACACCAGATTTCTAGGTTGAATCCTAGAATCATTCAGTTTCAATTTCTGATAGTAAAGAGTTTATAATTTAGAAAGAGAAGGTGGAGGGCAAACAAATCCAGAGTGAGCACCATTATCCCAATTTTGAAAATAATGAGATCATACCTTATAGACAAATGTGTAGCTGTCCAAGCACATCTGCCAGTTACCATTTGACATTTAACTAGAGGTTTTGTTTTAAACTGGTGGCAGTATACAGGGACATCAGCTTCATCTTTGGTCTTACCAGGCACTCCAGCTTGGATCCAGAAGTTAATGTCTGTTCCTTCTCCATCACTAAAGACCTCGGTGACATTGAGAGGCTGTAGAAGGCTCATGACCTCCTTCATGATGGCTCTGGCTTTGTCACTGCCGGTGAACTGCAGCCCAGTGGGTAAGAAGGCTCCTGAATCAGACTCCATCACCAGACTGTAGTTGGAAGCATTTGCCTAAATAAAATTTTGGAAGAGATAAATGTTTGGTTTGTATTGGCCTCATCTGTGGTTTCTCCTTGGGAACTATCAAACAACAATGACCAAATACTTCTCACAAGTTGTTGTCAAAATATATGCTATTCTGACTCAGGCTCTTGTCTATTGTTACCTAACAGCACTGAGATACACAATTATGCATCATGGGATTTGCCAAACTCAAGAGTTTACTTGGAAAGATACAAAAAATATAATGGAGAGAAATGTATTATAGTTGCACAATTAGTTTTACTAGTAACCGTAGTCTTTCAACCAATTTTCTTCAGGCCCTTCTGTGTACTCATCTATGGTTCCTCCTCTGTGGTACGGATCTCCTGGTGGTTAACCATGCTCAGACAAAAGAAAGAATGCTCTGCGGACTTATTTCTGTACCTCTTCCCTCTAAAGAGATACTCTATCTTATTTTAATTGTGAGTTGTGCTGGAGCTAAAAGGCATCAAATTGACAGGTCTGTCTTGGGTTTCTGATTTTGTTGTTGCTCCATCTGTTGACTCCCCAGGGAAGGTGGTAATAGAAAAGACATGAAACACTGCTCTCCCTGGTGTGAAACCACAGCCCTCTAATCCCAGGCAACTCTGCCAGGCTGCCAGTTTGTAAACTCTTTCCAAAACAAGTCTGGTAAGAAAGTATACAGTGATTTCATGTAGCCAACGTTGTCATTGCAAGAGCTTAGAATGTAAAAGGCCCTTGACAGGTTGTGGTGCTTAATTGCTACCTGACCATGACAGGCAAGTCTCAGACCCTTTCTTTCAACTGGCCAGGGTTCTGTTTCCCAGGAGTCATGCCCTTTTCCAGGTCTGATCAACATCAATGGCCACCTTGGTAGAGCCAGTCCTAGGCTATTTGTGGGCAGCATAGCTGCTACTCATTTCTCATCATTTCTGTAGTACTCTAGTATACAGTCTTCTCTGATTATCTTTGAAAACAAAACCTGTAGAATAGAACAAGCAACTTCACCATTGGTGCAGTTTTATAAGAAATGATCTGAAGACAACTGATGTCCAAGGAATGGTTCAAAAGTCACACAGCTGACAAATGGTGCTAGCTCTGAAGTCCTGAGATTTCCAGTACCCCTTACTGCCATCACTAACACTTGTAAATCATATTCCACTGTGAATCAGAATCTGTGTAAATCAGATTCCACTCTACAGTGATTTCTTAGCACTTGCTGTAGAAGTGTACTGAGGCCGCAGGTAAGGGCGGTGATGCTTCTAAGGGAAGATGCTGCCAGTATTCATTTACAGATCTGGTTGTAAAGCCCTGAGACCAGCATTCTCATTGACCCTGAGGCCCTGACACACCAGCATTTGCACTGACCATGAGGCCCTGACACACCAGCATTTGCACTGACTGTGAGGCTCTGACACACCAGCATTTGCACTGACCATGAGGCTCTGACACACCAGCATTTGCACTGACCATGAGGCTCTGACACACCAGCATTTGCACTGACCATGAGGCTCTGACACACCAGCATTTGCACTGACCATGAGGCTCTGACACACCAGCATTTGCACTGACCATGAGGCTCTGACACACCAGCATTTGCACTGACCATGAGGCTCTGACACACCAGCATTTGCACTGACCATGAGGCTCTGACACACCAGCATTTGCACTGACCATGAGGCTCTGACACACCAGCATTTGCACTGACCATGAGGCTCTGACACACCAGCATTTGCACTGACCATGAGGCTCTGACACACCAGCATTTGCACTGACCATGAGGCTCTGACACACCAGCATTTGCACTGACCATGAGGCTCTGACACACCAGCATTTGCACTGACCATGAGGCTCTGACACACCAGCATTTGCACTGACCATGAGGCTCTGACACACCAGCATTTGCACTGACCATGAGGCTCTGACACACCAGCATTTGCACTGACCATGAGGCTCTGACACACCAGCATTTGCACTGACCATGAGGCTCTGACACACCAGCATTTGCACTGACCATGAGGCTCTGACACACCAGCATTTGCACTGACCATGAGGCTCTGACACACCAGCATTTGCACTGACCATGAGGCTCTGACATACCAGCATTTGCACTGACCGTGAGGCCCTGACTCACCAGTGTTTTAATTGTTAATGATGAGGGTAACAAAGCAGAAGCCTATTCATATTTGTGTCTGTGTGGTGAGTTTTAGTCAAAAATCCAAGGCGCATGTAACAAATGGAACCACCTTAGCATTCAGCTGTGGCTTCTGCCTTATGGTAGCATCATTAGAATTAATAATATGCAGCATATTTGCATTTATGTCCTCTATTCAAGGCTCATCTAACTGTATACTGCTGCAACGTCAGCAGGTGGACATGTAATTCGGCAGCTCTAATCCTTTCCTCTGCTTTACAACACCCATTGCTTCCTGTGCAGGAAGGAGGAAAGAAAAATTACAGTATGTCCTACAAATGAAAATAGAATTGGGCAATCTTGTATGTGAAGGTTCCCACACTGCAGGTAGATGCCATGCTTCCAATGAGAAAGGCAGGCAAAGCACTCCTAATTATGCAAATGCTTGGGTTAAAAGTGGAGCTAGTTGGCAGCTTAGTGGTCAGACCTAGTGCTAGGGAGAAGCTTGGTGAGGTGAATATGACCTTAGGCTTATTTTGCTCTGTTTCTGACATAGCACCTGGCACTTCGGATTACCAAGTAGAGTAACTAGCCACTCTGCCTCTCCCTAGGCCATGACACCTTTGAATTTATCTGTAGAAAGTAAAAAGATGCTTTTACCTAAGCTTGAGTATGAACGTCTAACCTCTTTTAGACCAAAGCAAAAGTGGTTGTATGAATTGAACTTACCAGGGCTTTTAACACATTTCTTAAGTGCTTTTCTGGTCTTTTTGAACTGCAAATGAAAAGAAATCCCAGGGACAGGGGCTTCAGAGTTTCAGAATGCCACTATGCAGTGTCACAGGATACTCACAGGAACACAGAATGACACAAATAAAGGAGCTTTCAGAAGTGCCATGGGCTGTCAGCAGAGAGAAGAAGAGCCTGGGCTTTGGAATTATCTGGGCTGGTTGCATTGTCATGCTTACTAATCTTTAGCTGTGTGTCGTTGGGCATTTGATATAAGCTCTTAGTTTCCTCTTTCATAAAATGGGTATAATTGTGCCTAGCTCATAGAGTTGGGAGAAACTGCAGGATTCAGCTAGGGAAGAATGCGCACTTGATAAACAGCAGCACCATCACTGGCTTTCCTGTCTTTAGCTCTGAGTGTCCCAGGTGGTCAAGGTTGGTGCCAGCGTGAAGCATTCTGATAGCCGATTATAAGGACAGGCAGCAGTTCTGTGTTGCTTTGTACAAATCAAGCATTCTGTGAGATGCTTCACAGCTCACCCCATGGGTGAGTTCTTAGCTCATACAAGCCACTAAGGGTGTGTCAGGTTATCAAACTTCTTCAAGGTTACCTGGCTAGTCAGTGAGACAGCAAGGGAATGGTGTGACTAGAGCTCAGTTCTGCCTTTCAGGGTTTTCACTGTCCCGTCTCCTCATGCTCACTTCTAAATTTCCAGCCATAAGCCCTCACTTTTAAGTGAGAAATATGAAGGAAGTAGTTAAACAAATGAATAGATTTTAATTTTTTACATGTCTTAATACAAGGTCTACTTGGATAGAATTTATTATCTCTGCTAATAAAGCAATTTAATTAAACAAAGAAAGAAGTAAAAGCATAAACAAAAATGTCCTGCTATACAATTTCCTTCCAATTAGGAATCAAAAGTCTAAAATAATAAAACACTACTTTAAGCCAAATAAAACAGGATGTGTATAGATATCAGTAAATTGAATCCTGGCATAGGTAGAATACGTCGATTCCATTCATGATTTCCATTCAAGTTAGCTGCTGCTAACTTGATGGCAGTATTCTATTGTTTTCTACTTATATATAAACATCTCCATATGTTCCCAATAAAGAAGTAAGGAAACAAACTACCCACCATCCTGATACTGTTTTTGTCTAGTTATGGAGTCATAATCTAACCATTGGCACACAGTGAAGGAGTTGGGACAACAAAATATCTCTGCACAAAGGAACTGGGATGAGCAGCTGGGTCACTGGGCTGTTAGCTCTGCCACCTCTCAGCAATGTGTTATCACAAACATCTGAATTCTTTAGCATGAACTGCTCAGTGTAGATGTGAAAAGCTGGTCACAGCGAGTGGCAGGGAGCAGAGCCATTCTTTACTGACTTATCCCCTTTGCTGTGAATGTCTTTATTCTCTTGTTTACGGAGTGTAGGAAAAAGCCTACTTCTTGAGGCAGAATGCTTTGTTGTTGAGATAACCAAGTCTGATTGAGACAAACTGGGGCACATAGTTGAGGAGGCTGAATAGCACAAGGATACCTTAGGATATGATCTATAACCCTCTCTACTCTCTTAATAAAGGAAATGTCTATTAGGAGCCATGGAAACTATTGTTCATTACCATGTGATGTGCATTATCCAGTGCAGAGAAATGCTCTTTGTAGCTCTTTGCTGGGATCCTCAGATTAGAAATGTATCTGCTCAGGGTTTGGGTTCATAACTGTCAGATACTACAATCATATCCTACAAGACTTGTTTTTCTTTTTTTTTTCTTTTCTTAATGGTCAGGTGATTCTGCCAAAAACAGTTTGGTTACAATTGGCATTCTTTGGTTGCAATGGAAGAATGAAAAGAAGAAAACTGTTTAAAATATATATTGCATGTTTTAAAATGCTTACTTTCTAATATAAACACAAGGATGATGATTATATTCTTTGCTTCAATAAAATTCCAGGTGATTCTTTCTCAGAAATATAGACCCAAGTTCAATAACATCTCCTTTCCCCCAAGATTTGGCTTCATTTATATTTAAAGGCTTTACTTTAAAAACTTTCTTATAACACAGAGAAAATAGATGATGAGAAAATCATGAGAAAAATAAGCCAATTTCTCTGTGTTTCTCAACATGCCTTTGTT